CTTATTTCTCTTCTATTAGAAGAGTAAAAGGATATTCAACCATGGCTTGTATTCCATTTCGCTTAAATATGACAATACGTTGTACTTTCCCAACAGGATTGCATACTGTATACAAGACATTCTACAAAATAAAGCAGATGTTTTACCTTACAAGATAATTCAAAATGTTAACAAATAAAAATATATACAACTATTAAAAAGCCATTCTGAGAAAATACTGTAATGCAATTCGAAAAGAAAGTTTTAATTCAGTTTTGCTATACATACTTTAAATAATTCGCATGCTGCACTGGTAAATATACAAAGTTAGTATGCTCAATATTTGTACCATTTATAAAGCAGAACAAAATGAAGGGAAGGATTATTTCCTTTCCAAATTATTGTGAAAAATGTTGAACTAATCTATTATAACTTTATCACCATTTATTTATTTATTTATTATGCTGCCAATTACACCTAGAGGTGACTATAGGCAGCTCACAACTAAACAAAAGCAACAAGATAAAAAATTTAAACATTAAAAGAATAGATGTTAACATTAAAATTTACTTTAAAAAATAACAAAAATGGCAAGGAAGGACACAAGATGCATATAGAGAGGAATGTGGGATCTTAATCACCTCCAGTATGATACACCCCATCACAAAGAAATTACAAGACTGTTCTTGGAAAAGTTACAAGATCTAAGTGGCAATATGTTAAAAGTATGTACATTTATACTGTATATATTTATAATATCATGAGAACTGAATTCAACTTAAATTAAACAGAACTCTGCTTCCAAAAGCAGACTGGCCTGGCCTCCTGGGAAATCTTTCCACAACTGTCCTCACTTCACATAACTGAATCATTCACTTTACACAAGAAAACTATGATTCATAGTTATTCGTTCTAAATAATGTTAAAATTGGATTACATAATATAGATGGTTTTTCATTCGCATGCTCCTTATATAGAAATGCAGTTATTTATTGATTTATGGAACATACTTTTAGTCATAACAGACAATGAATCCAGTAATGAGAAGGAAGTGGGGAGTCTTCAGTGCACTTTAACCTTGGTTGTTTATCTACAGACATTTCATTACCTGACTAGATAACATCATCAACACATTGATGGTTATCTAGTTGGGTAATGAAATGTCTGCCAGTAAACAACCAGGTTCAGAAAACATCAAAGTCTCCACAATTCAATTCTGAGTCACATATGTTCTCTTCCATGAGAGGGAAGATAAGACAAAATGAAAAACAGCTTTCTATACTAAACCTGTATTAAATATTTACTTTTAAATCATTTAGCTTTGACTTTGGTAGGGAAAAAAAATATTTTACTTACAGAAAATTAAAACCATTTGAGATTCATTAAGACCACTAAAATTAGAGGGCAAACTCTCAAGAGTAACTAACAAAAACAGGAAATGAAATCTGAATATAGGAATACTGAGAACTGTATTAAATAATATATTACAAAATGCTGTTAAACAGGAAACTATTTCATCACTATCTCTTTTCCAATAAGCTATGAGTTGTTTAAATGACTTGTAAACAGTAACACAGGCAAAAAAAGGATTAATTGCTAATTTTATAGTTCAGCCAAATAATTTTCTATATTTTCAAAATAATACTGCTACTACATAAATGAGATCATACTTTCCCAGTATTACAGAACAAAATATACTGAAAAGAACACATGCATTTATATATGAAGAAGCTTTCAATATAAACCAGAAAGAACAATCTTAGATCCTGCCAATGTAAAAAATAGGCAAAGAGGCACAAACTTGCCACAAGCAAGCACAGCATAGGACAATCTAAAGCATCAAATATTTGAGATTTATGCTGTAAAATAGACATACCACAGTAATTGGATATAAAGGATTCTGAATTGATAACAGCAGAACTTTGTTCCCACCAGATGGGTCATCAGTGTTTCCTGGACGAGTTATTCTTTTGCTTGTAGAGTAATTGAAAAATGCTTGCTGTCCTGCTATATATACTGGCTCATCTGCTGCAAAAGTAACACACTTTTTGGCACTTTCAATATCCTCAAATTCTACCAAAGCTTGGCGTTTAAATGGCATCATCATCACATAACTACAGGAAAAAAACACCAAAACCAATTAGTTCATAATATAATACAGCAATTAAACTAAAGCAAAACTTATATAACTTAATATAAAAATTCTACTGCCAAATGCACAAAAAAGGCAATTTCATTTCTTAAAA